TTATGAGTAAATTTTTAAATAAAAAATTAATTATATAATGATAAATTATATTATAAATTCATAATACTATATGATATGATAATTACAATATATTCATTAATTTTAAGTAAAAAGAAAAACAAAAATTAGAATATCCTAATTTTTAAATATAGATGTAAAATTAAAACTCCTTTAGAAATTATTCAAATATTCTTATTGAATCTTCTTTATACATTAATTTATTAAAGGTATTTTCCTCAATCGCTCAAATAATAGCTTTTCTTTTCTTTTCTTTTTTTTTTTTTAACATGTGATTTTAATCTTAAGAGTTAAATTTATTTGTAAGTAAATATGACTTTATATGTTAGGTCTAAGATCAAATTTTGAGACTAATATACAACAAAATTAATTTTCTTACACACATCAAAATGATATAAGGTGCGCCATTAGTTTGTGTTTGGTTTGAAGGAATGTGAGAAATGATTTTTTTAACGAATCAGATTATAATTAATATGAAGAAATAAAATAATTTAATTAGTCAAAAAATTCATTTCCCTAATTCTCTCAAACCTAATATAATTAGTAGTAAAGCTCAGTGTTACGTGATCACAACTTGAATAATAGTGACATACGGCTTCCCTAATTAAGAATGAGATACAACTTTCTTAATTATTTCTAGCTCTATTTTGGTGGGATCATGATTTGTCTAATTAAAGAAAAAGTGAGATTGAGGAAAAGTTTTAGTTTGTTGAAATAATGCTTTGTTTTTTGTCTTCCACATTAGATGCTAACTTGTTAAGGATGTTTTCAGCACTAACAAATGTTGAGCATTTCCCTTTTTCTTCTTAAAGCAGGTAGAACATATCTTGAAGGCATGTAAAATTTTACTATAAATATTTTAGTGATATTTTAAGCATTCAGTCCTCTTTTTTTTTAACGGTTGCCCTTAGCTTATTCTAAACATTACATTTCCTAATGTTTATAAGGCACCGTATGAAGACATATTTCTGGATATTTTGTCTAACCTGTAGGGAGTCGTACTTTCCTTATTTAAAAAAAGTATTGTAAATCCCATTAGGGTGGATAATTTAAATTATAGGATCAGTGATTGTTCGTCTTACTTTTAAAAAATTAAAAATAAAAAAAAAATAAAAAAACCATCTTAATTTATGCTTTAAAATTAAAATATTTTAAGTTTTTTCAATAAGTGTTTATTAAAATGACGTAGTTTTGAAATAATATTCTTTTTAATTTTTAAGAAGTAAGGCGAATAAGTACTATTCTATTAAATTATTAGATAATAATGAATTTTTAAGTGATCAACGAAAATTAAGATATTTTAATAATTAAAAT